CCTGCGCAACGGCAACGGGCGGGATGGCGTCTCCAGGCACAAGTCTCGCGATACTCGCTGCGCAAGAACAGCCACTCACGCCCAAATTGGGCGGGGGGGCCACATGCACGACGGAAAGACGCGGAGTCTGGACGCATGCGCAGTTGGAACAGCAGTGAGCGCGCATGCACGCAGCTTGCCATTGGACGCCCTACTGCTGTCAGTCTCGGTGGGCGCGGCTGTCGCGAAGGATGTTACCGGGGGTTCCGCCCTCTGGCCCCGCCCCGCGCCCGATACCCCGCCTCCTCGTGGCCGCGGGAGTTTTCAGGAGTTGGGTCAGCTCTCTACGCATCTGTGCGACCTACACGCCTCTGCCCCCGTGCGGGGATTCATTAACCCGGGGCGGGAGGTCTCGCGCTCCTGGCGAGTTGCGGGCGCCATGCGGGTGGCGGTGTTCATCGTCGATGCCTTCACGGCGGAGCCGTTCGGCGGGGAACCCGGCCCCGGCTTGCCGCTCCCTCCCCGGCGGAGCCGTTCGGCGGGAACCCGGCCGCGGTCTGCCTGCTCCACAGTGTAAGTGCTGCCGCCGGCTTCCTGCTCTCCTCAGGGCCGGGCAAGGGCACCTCGACGGGCGCTGCTTCGCCGTGTGTCCGCGGCTCCCTGGGGAGGCCCCGTGCGCCGCTGCCCCTCTGAGGTGCCAAGCATGATGCACAAAATGACCCTGGGGATTTCAAATAGGGACCACAGTGTCAAACCCACGTGGCCCTGCCGGGGGCTTCCAGTCTCTGCAAGATGAGAATGGTGTTTGCTGTCTTTCTCTTGTGGAAAAAAAAGTGAAAAGCAAGAGTCATTCTGCAAGCCCCCCATTTTCTGAGGGGGGCCTTGGTTCTAACCAGGGGCACCTTGGGTCAAAATGGGTTGAGAAACAGTAAATGAGAGCAAGAAAGCAAGAACAGTAATTTGCTAAAGCACACAGTAGTAGGATGGTCCCATAATGCTCTCTGAAAGGAAGCGATGACCTGAGGAACAATGACTGCTAATTCCTGCGGTTTTTCCAAAACTCATCAAAGATACAGGCTTCTTTTTCCAAAAGTGAAGAAGAGGAAGAGTAGGTATCTCAGGACCTTCCACATCCTGTTGTCCTGTATGTGGCTGGTTCCCAGTTAGGCCAAGTTAATAAGCAATAAACATTTTTACCCCCTGATTGCCCTGGTAGCTTTGGTTCCATTCCCAGTGCAGCCAGCCATACAAATCATTATAACATTCTGAACAGTTGTTCCTAACTGGTGTTCTGTTATCAGTCTCACTAGCAGCCAGGAGTGGCAAATTCACTACCTTATTGTTACCAGAGGAAGTCTCACTGGATTAGAAAGGAGAATATCTGTAGAGGTGCTTGTGGGAACTCTTATGTTTTTTGAAGTGTACAAGCTCTGCTGTTCAAGTTTGGTTAAAGCTCAATTTTAAGCTTCCTGAAATTCAGTTGGTGTGTTGCAGGTGGTTTCAGGGAGAGTTAGTGAGCCACATTTGGGAATAATAGAGATGATAATATTGAACTCTTTCCTGCTGCCCCCAAAACTCCTTTAGATTTTGCAAAAATCTAGGGAATAAAGCCATGGCTCTAGTATTACTTGCTCAACATTTACCCATATCTAAGCATGGCACTTGCCACTCCTTCAGGAAAGCAGTAGTGACTACACAGTATTCACCCAAGCGTATTGGCATGAGGCTAATGCATGTCAGATGCTTATGCTGTGTAGTTGTGGACAGATCTTTTAGAGGTTTTCTAGCTAGCCAGCGTGATCTTGAACTGTCCCTTGTGAAAACTTGGAAAGGGGAAGAGGAAGAAAAATGCTCTTTAAAAAAGGTGGTTTTTATTTTATTTTAGGAAAATGTAATTCAGTACATAAGCAAATGCTTAAACTCTGCAAAAGAAAAATAGGTTGTATATACAAAGATTTTGGGGGAGGAGAGGAAGGATTTTGTGGAGTGAGATAAATGAGGATAGGGTGGAGCACAGAGGATTTTCAGGGGCTTGGGTCAGGTGGAAGTGAGGATCAGGGGAACAGGGAGAAACTGGTAGGACACTGGGTGGTAATAGCGTGGGCAGCTGTGAGTGAGGGACATTGTTGCCAAGGATCTTTCTGCTCTACTTCCTCCTCTCTTGTGCATGTGCTGAAATCTGGGGAGATTTTTCCACCTGGGGAAAGTTGCCCCCAAGTGAGCTAGAATGGGGAGGGGTAATACAAATTAAATATCTAAAAACCAGGAAACTGGTTCATTTCATAGCTCCAGCTGTGTGACTAAGGAAGTGTATGATCCTAGCTTATAAATGCTAAAGGCAAAATGAGATGGAAAGGAAGGGGTTAGCTAGAAATGGTGGGGGTAGGTGAGAGTGGAATGGTGGAGTAAGACATACCAGTCTTACTCCAGCCCCCTGCCCAAAGGGCAGGAAGTCAGCCGGGTTCATAGGATCCCAGCAAGATCAGCATCCAGTTTGCTTTTGAAGGTGTTCAATGTAGGCGCTTGAACCACCTCCGGTGGCAGGCTGTTCCAGACCTTGGGGGCTCGGACAGTAAATAAGTTCTTCCTTATGTCCAGCCTGAAACGGTCTTGTAGTAGTTTATGACCGTTCGACCTAGTCGTCATCCCTTGGGGCGCTCTGGTGAACAAACGTTCCCCCAGATACTGGTGGTCACCCCTGATAAACTTATAGGTGGCCATCAGATCACCCCTGAGCCTGCGCTTTTCCAGGCTAAAGAGCCCCAGGGCTCTCAGCCTGTCATCGTAGGGTCTGCTTCCCTGACCTCTGATCATGCGCGTGGCTCTTCTCTGGACTCTCTCAAGCTTCTCCACATCCTTTTTGAATTGTGGAGCCCAAAACTGGACGCAGTACTCCAGCTGCGGCCTCACTAAGGCCGAGTACAAGGGGAGAATGACATCCTGGGATTTGCTTGAGAAGCATCTATGGATGCAAGCCAGCGTTTTGGTTGCTTTACTAGC